AACAACAATCTTTCCATAAGATTATATGTGAAGTAGAGATGCACCGAAATGACATTTTTAAAACCGGAACAAACCTTTTGAAATTTTAAAATATTTAATATTTATTTTTTTATTAATTTTTTTTATTTCTTTATATTTCATTTTTTAAAAATATTTGTATTTTTTTACTTTACTGTCTGGGGCTCTCGGGAAAATAGACCCCTGCTATTTCCCTTTTAAAATAGAAAAGGAGATTGAGGACACAGAGCCCTCAATCTCTTTTTCTGCAGCCCCTGCTATAAACAAACAGGAAACCTCTATATTGGGTGTTCCTGTTCATTCATAACTTGTGTGGAGACAGTATGATTAAGCACAGGTGGTGAAACGTGTGAGAGGTGTTGGCGCGGTGTGGGAGATTTCAAGGTGATGTACATGCTGATCATTATTCTTCTGGATTTGTCTTTGATATTTGCTTGGATTTATTTCAATACATTTTGGATAACACTTACTATGGCCTCTGTGCGGCTGATCTTTAGGAGACTGAGGAGATTATATGGTTACCATGTCCACAATCATGAATGAACAGGAAGTGATGTGGATCATTTCCCGTTCATTCATAATTGGGGACACAGTAAAACGCACTATGTTCTCAAATATTTACAAACTGATCACTGATTGCGGAGTGTTTGTACCCACTCTCTATCCTGACTCACTGTCACAGGAGTCTGAGTGAGCGGTGCGGGGAGGAGAGCGCAGTCTCCTGTGACAGCTGGCTCCTCCCCCTCACTGTCGGCCCAGCCTCCTGTGACAGCTGTCTCCACCCCTACACCGCTCTCCTGATCTGGCTGAGCTCTTCTGCCGCACCGCCCCGCTTAGCCTCCTGTGACAGCGCTCACAGCTGTCATCACCCCCCACACCGCTCTCCTGATCTTGTAACATGCCGGCCGCTCACATTGCTCTCCTCCCCTGCACCGCTCGACCTCCTGTGACAGTTTCCCTCCTCCCAGCTGAAAGCATGGCCGTTTTAGAGAGGACAAAGAGCAGCACCCAGCAGGGAGGAGAGAAACCAGACATGCACCGCAATTTCGGTGGAAAGACGGTACTTTCGGCATGTCGCCAAAAGTGCCATTTTTAGCCGATATGTTGTGGTAGGCGAAATTTCGATGCATCCCTAGTTTTAATAAAACCTGCAGATTTTAAAATATTGAAAATATGAAATTACAATAAAATGTGGAAGTTGATATGAGATTTTGAAGACAGTCTACTTCAATCTCAAGAATAAAGGGCTGAAACTGCCTTTGTAGTTTGACCCTTACAGTCATTTATGTGGTTAAATATGATCCATTTTTAATTATCGGACTAGTAGAGGGAAATAGACCATTAATAAAACTTAAAGCTGAACTCCAGGCAAACAGCTTAAAGGAGAACTATGAGGTGAGTGCTTTTCACTCACCTCATAGTTCTAGCCGACCTGTGACAATGAGACTGTCACAGGTCGGCTCAGTAGATCGGGAGGTGAGCGAACACATACCGGCGTTTGCTCACCTCTCGATCCTGTCACGGCTCTCTGCCGTGACAGGGGAGGGGCTGGATTCCCCCCTCCCCGATCCGCCAGCGCTGACTGGCGGAACGGACGGGGGAGGGGGCGGGTACAGCTGGCTCTGCATCTAGGTAGGCAGAGCGAGCTGTCAGTCACTCAGCTGGGCGGATCCAGACATAACTGTTGGGATACGCTTCAGCGTCTTAGTATACCGCGAGCAGCAGCTCGCGGTATACTGCGGCGGTATACTGAGCCTAGCGTGACGGGAGGACGCTAGTTTGTGTCCTCCCGTTACCCTAAGGAGAACTATGGGGAAAAGCCTTAACCCCATAGTTCTCCTTTAATACACAGTCAAAACAATGGCTGAATTCTAAGGTAACCATTGCCCAGACATTGCTTTTACCATCAGGTAGCCAAGCTGCCCTGGTTTGCCCCCGAGTTCAGCTCTGTTCTCTTCTATGCTATTTTGAAGGTGCTTGCCAAGGGAGAGAACAATCTGCTAAGCACTTCTTATTGCCACCCGTGAGAATCCTGCCATACAGATGTACTGCGTTATCAGCCAGATGATTTGCAATTCTGTTCAGCATTACCACACTACAGGATGGCTTCTAGTTGCTCTCACCGGTTAGTAAATTCCCAGTGCTAGAATGACTGTGCTATGCCAGCAGTAGACCCTGGCTGGCTCAGGGTACCAATTTTACCATTCCTAATCTGAGACCTGCTGTGCAGAAGTTGAAATCAAGGCAGATGCAAACACTTCTACTAGATTTACAATATCATAAATAATTTTAAGGAATACATAAATGGTGATATGCAACTGCCTGGAGTTGAGCTATAAAAACAGTACAAGAACAATAATTACAGGGATTGAATAGGAAATTAGCGGTACTTACCACTCCACAAGGACTCCTTTAAGTACATTCACCATTTTCACAGCCAATGAAGAGGTAGTACGTTAGGTTATGCTTTGCCTCACCTTTCAGAACTGTCCTGTCTTTGGCAACAAGATATGATTGCTAATGAAATGCAGATCTAAAACAAAAAGTAGTCCTCATCTTAGAAAAGGCTTGGTTTAGAGATTAAAGTCATAATGTTGCTAAAGCCTTTCCCGCTGACATTAAATACTGGAGATTTTTTCTTGAATTCTTAAAACTAAAGCCATCAGCCAGAAAACATTGCTATATTAACTGAACAATAGAAACTTAACTGTGCATGTTTCATGGATGGAAGAGTTACCTATTTGGGATGCAGTCTACATACAGTATATACTCAAACAAATACAATGAAATCCAAAAATGATTTTAGAATGTCAAGAGATGGACAGGTGGATCCACAGCGCTGCAGCACTAGAAAATGTGTCGGATGCTTAAGACTCAGCTGGTGGCTTTGCTCTGCAACTAGAACCAATCTTGTGAGGCACGGACAGTGAGAGAAGAATACTTTAAAAAAAAATTGTGACAGAGTAGCTTTGAATAAATCCAAATAGTCCAGCACTCTCCATACACCATGTCAGCATGAAGCATTGCATTAAAAAAAACGCATTTCTTAGCCATCCGGCGGATCTGTAGTTTCATTTTAACAAGTCCTCCAAAGACTGTTTAGTCTGTTAACAACTGGACCTGTGATCTCTGAGTTCCAGCTGCCTCTGCAGGGCTGTCTCTTTAGGGCTTGTTCACACCAAGCGCGTTCTAGGAGCAGAGCAGTTACAGACCGGATCAAAACTGCGTCCAATGTATTCCAATGGTATTTTGGGCTCTAGTTCACACCGCAGCATTCAGTTCCAGAGCATGTAAAAAAACTGCAGCAAGCCCTATTTTACCTGCTCTGGAACGCATGCAAACACTCTGGAACGCACTGAAAGCCCATTGTTTTTAAAAAAAAACCCGTCCCGGAACGCATCAATAACGCTGCAAAAGACGCAGTATAACACTCATGCAGATCTGGTCTGCATTTGGTGTGAACAAGCCCTTAGAAATACCAAAATGCTCTTTTATCAGGAAGAAGTTTTTTTTAATACAAAACAAAGAGTTAGAACTAAAACTGCAGTTACATTTTTTTTAACCAAAACCATTCTAGTCTCCCTACACACGGTTCATGTGACCAGTCACGTGGGCAAATTGTCCTTTCATTTACTGTCAACCAACTTGGTTCTGTTGCTGAAAGATGACAGCAGACAAACCTTCATCTTAGAGATATCTATCTATCTATCTCTCATCTGTTTTAGTAGCATAATCATTGGGTAGTGTTGCCATTCATGTCAGACAAAAGTGAGACCAGCTGCTCAATACCACCTAAATTTAGCTTTTGCTGGAACATATTGATTTATTAAACTGAAAACAGATTTCCTAAATTGATTACAGAAAGTCTGAAAAGAAAGCGTATTTCACCCGGAAGCCGTCTACAGTAAATAATACAATTGTGCAATGGTTCATTCACCCTGTGCCATGTAGAGGACACGTGGTGGTTACATTTCCAGACATATCTATAGGTCACATCACGAACACATGAAATATACACATTCATGTAATCCAAACTACACAGAGGTGATAATACGCTATTTGTACCACATTTGTTTTCTGATATTTTCTCACAATTTAATCCAGAACTGGCTTTAGGCAAACTATTTTAAAGTGGACCTTCACCCTTCCTACCTGTCTTTCTGTATCATCATCCCTACCCCCTCCTCCCTCAGAACTGGACTTTTGAAATTATCTTTTTCAGGTAAACCCTCCCCACTCTTCCATCTTTCCCATGAAGGCAAGAATGACGTTGCAGTTGTTTGCAGTCTTTTTGGGATACCCATGTCATGAATCCCAGGAGGCCTTGGGATACTCTACTGCACATGGGCCTAGCAGAAAATCACATTGCAGTTGTCCTCAGCCTCCATCAATACCCACGTCCTGCATCTCAGGAGGCCTGGGATACTCTACTGCACATGGGCCTAGCAGAAAATCACATTGCAGTTGTCCTCAGCCTCCAGCAATACCCGCGTCATGCATCGCAGGAGGCTTGGGATACTCTACTGCACATGGGCCTAGCAGAAAATCACATTGCAGTTGTTCTCAGCCTCCAGCAATACCCGCGTCATGCATCGCAGGAGGCCTGGGATACTCTATTATGCATTGCCATGGCATCTGGAGGCTGGCTTTCTCTACCTCGTTCTTGCAGCCAGCCCCAATGTTGTGTCGCGGCACATGTGCGTCATCAGAGCGATGGCTGCAATAACCAGGAAGATATCATAGAAGAAGATGGTGGAACAGGACCGGGTGTAAACATCAGAGTGCTGAAGCCCTACAGAACACCACTGGATGTATGTTTTTCATGGGTAACCCAGTGAAAAAGGTAAAAGGGGAATAATGGAGAAAGGGGAATTTTCTCTTCAAGAATTGAAGCTCAATTCCAGGACAAAAGTTTCTGCACACTCGCAATCGTCTGAACTTTTATGCAGAAATAAAATGAACAACCCTGCAGTGACAGTCCGCACTCTTCTAGGTACACATCGGGCGTAATGAACAACCCTGCAGTGACAGTCCGCACTCTTCTAGGTACACATCGGGCGTAATGAACAACCCTGCAGTGACAATCCACTCTTCTGTATACACTGGGGGGAATTTATCAAAACTGGAGCAGCTGTGCATGTCAACCAATCAGCTTCTATCTTTCATTTACAACCCTTAACTGAACAAACTGAAGAGAAGCCGATTGGTTGCCGTGGGCAACTGCTCCAGGTTCAATAAATTCCCCCCATGGGGCATAACAGAAGCCCTGTCTTATAGATGCTTACTGGGATGTGCCCGTCTGTCCCACTACACTGGATTGTCCAGTTCAGCTATACTTAGAAGCGTGAATATCCAAAACTACAGGAGCAGTCAACTTACATACTCTCCAATAGAAAGAAAACAGGAAAACAACTGACAAATGGAATCGGTTAGGAAACTAGAATTTTACATTTATACATTGTAAACAGATGAACGTTTCTAGTGTTTTCTAGTAGAACTTTGAAAGCCGGTTCTGACAGATACTTTTGAGTGCCATTTTTAGATCCGGTCCTCTCAGGTACAGAGAGCCAAGAGTTCTGAGAAATTTTCAGTAATCGATGACTGAACCATGAAAGCGAAGGTAGTCCCAAATCATAAGCTAATATAAAACGCACATTATTTTCCTGCAATTGAAGCGCCCCTAAAACGCAGGTCAGCAAAACCCCATTGACTTTAAAGATGAACTCTACAATAACTTCCATTACATAAGTACATAATAAAGGCTCATTCACACAGGCGTGCAAGGCTGTGATGAAACCTGCTCCTGAGAGGGATAGGTGTGGTGTGTAATTATGTGCAGCCGCCTGTACATCCGCATCGGAGATTGCGGCTGCACGCACTTGGACAAAGACAGTGTGCATCCATGTGTGGGCACCTAGACCTGTACGGACGTGCAGGTTCAGGTCGGCATGTAGTCACGTGTAGCCGGGTCCGCCAATAGGGATATACAAGTGGCTGCAAACAATTACACGCCGTTCCTGTCACTTGAAGGAGCAGGTCTGTACATGTGCTTGTACGCCGTGTGGATGTGCACGCCCATGTAAATGAGCCCTTAACCCCTTCATGACTGAGGCCCTTTTTTCATTTTTTGTACCCATGTTATATTCCACATTTTAGGCCTGAAAATGACTTAAAACCCCCCAACATTATATATTTTCTGAATGCCAAGACCCTATAGAATAAAATGGTGGTAGTTGCAAATTTTTATGTTGCGCAATATTAGCGCAACTCCTTATTAAACCCCAACATTTAGTGAAAAATGTAATTTAATGCCCCAAAACACAACAAAATACCAATTTTTTAAATGACATATAAAAGATGAGGTTACAACGAGTAAAACGATACCCAACATGCATAGGTTACAAATTGCGTGCGTCCGTGAAACGGCGAAAAACTGCAGTACCCCAAAAAATCAATAGAAGACGCTTTAAAAGCCCCCACAGGTCATCAATTTAGAGATACCCCAAAATACTGGCCCTAGAATTATTGCTCTCACCCCGGCGTGCGCGGCGATACCCAACATGTGTAGCGCGTTCGTCGTTTTCATACGTAGGCGCACCCGACGCGTGTTTACGTGGCGACGCGCGTGCTCACGGGGGACTTTACAAATTTTTATTATTATTATTAGATTGATTTTAATTGAAAAAGCTTTTTTGTTTTAACTTTACTTTGACTGCTATCACATAGAGGGGCTTACAAGCCCCCCCCCATGTGATAGCAGATGGTCGTGACAGGTACTCTTTAAGGTGATGCTGGGAAAAACATCCCAGTTTCTGGAAAAAAATACTTTGTAAAACTCAGTGACCTCAAGCCAGAATCAAGCCAGTGGATATGTCACATGCGCTCATTGTGCAGCACCGCTTGCAGAAACTATAATCATCACACAAAGGGAATAGTAGTTTTGAAAAGGCGTTAATGTTGGAGAATTGGGGGGCTGGAATGTGGCTGATGTGAACAGGAGATATTGTGGGTGGTATTAGGGGCCTGAAACGTGAACGTAATTATTCATTCCTGGGGCAGCATGCACAGAATAACCTCATCGGATTCTAAATCACTCATTTCAGGGGGAAGGTGTAAACATTAATGGGGTATAATCTGGGTGCTGATGGTTACAAAAGGTTAATATTTACATGTTGGCTCTAACAAAAGAGGCTTTATATATGCTTGATGTAGGTAACCGTTAGCACTAGTGATGCACTAATACCGTTGCCGACACTGAGCATTTGCATAAAGTACTCATACTTGTGCAAATGCTCAGATACCAAAAAATTATACTGGCGCTTTAATTATTCAAATTGAAGTGGCTGCCTTAGGTCCTGTGCTTGCTGGGGACCTCTCAGCAGCCTTCTTGGGAACCACATGGTGTCTGTCTACAGTGCTTTCACTGTCCCGCACATCTCCCCCTACTTATATCCTCTGCCCGAGAGATTAGGCCAGCATCCGAGCAGAGCGGCAACACAGAGTATGTACCAGCATGGTGCAGCAAAACTGCATCTGAACTCCACAGCTAC